TTACTCACTCAGGTCATACTTTGTTATTTTGTTCAGAGGATGAAAGAGGCCACCAAGCTTACAAAGTTGCCTCCCTAAACCTACCTAAACCAGGGGCCTGAGAGGGGGTGTAAGTTCTGATTTTGAACAGGGGAGCTGAGATAAGCTTTTGTTATTTTCTTTTTTAGGTTACTTCTGAGTGTTGCCTAATCCAAAATCCTTTCATGCTAAGTTAGAGGGGAAAGAGGAAGAGGGGACATGCAGGAAGCAGAGGGATGGAACACATTCATGTAATTTCACAAGGGTGGGGGGCTGTGACTTTCTCACAGGAGGCAGTTGAGCCCGAAGCTTAATATGTAGAAGCAGGGTGGACAATTCACATAAAGATTTGGGGTTTGGAAAGGTATTATTTATGTATTCTACCGAACAGCATTTGGGATACAAAAATGACGAGGTTAAGCAGTATCACATGGGAAGTGGTGAAGGAGACGGGAAAGTAAAGGAGAGAGAGGATAACAACTGAGTGTGCTGAAAATATTAGTCATGCAAAGAGCTCTGAAGCTGAGGGCTTCTATTTTGCTTACATTACCAGTGCATCTTGTTGAACCCTCCCTGCTTTAAATCTGATGACAGGCATTTTCAGTAGTGACCCCTTAAAGTAACCCTGAGTCGCATACATAGGCCACCAGTTGAGTATAAAATTGCCTTTAAATTGAACTAAGCAATTTCTAAGATTAGTTGTGTGTTGCAAACTACCCAGTTGGGGGCAGACAAAACAAACAGATGACTTCTGAATGCTACCAAAGGAATCCTGCATTTCTTTGTGCGTTTTAATAAAGCAAAAGGCTTTTCAACTCACAATCTGATTCAGATAGCTTACTCACAATCTCCTCAGACAGAATACCACAATAGGGTTTTTTCCAATTATCATATTTTCAACCACTAGTATGGAGCGTGGGCAGGAGTGTGGGGGATGCTGGAGGCACACACACACATTTTTCTGGACAGTGTGAAATGCTGTGCAGAACATACTGAGAAATTGATAGAGGTACTAACACTCTGCCAAATCAACCCCTTCTAATAACGTCAGAGAGCAGGGGGCAGTGCATTTAGCAAGAGATCATATTAACTCCCACTTTGCCCCTCTCCCTAAGGGTTTACAGTAACTAAAGAAGTTAAATGAAGTCAGACTCTCTCCTGTTGTTTTTGCTTACTTCTGCCAGAGAATTTAGACTCTAAAGCTTCAGTTTGCAAAAAAAAAAAAAAGATGAGAAACATCATGGGGCAGGCTCTAGACTCCAACACCCAATGGCCACTTACTCAAGCCTACAGGCTTTGTCAATTTCTCTTGCTATCTTTTCTTTTGTTTGGAGGTTAGCTGTAAGTTCAAAAATGAATCTAAAGAAGAATAGTACCTGGGTGCCCAGAAAAAAACCCCTTTATCAGCTCTTATTTGGTATGGTAAGAATGAAAAGGATTAGGTTCCATAGAGCCCAAGATAGAAGAAGCCATGGCAGCAGGGCCTCAATAAACCTCTCACTTATAAATGTGTCTAAGTTGACAGGCTAATTTCTTTCTTTTAAAAAATTTCATATATTTTTATATTAAGCAATAACTGATAGTATAAAAACTGTACATGTTGACAGGATAATTTCAAAATAAGACCGGGTTGGTGTGTTTATTTTTGAAAAAGCTCCATATGCCATGCTGCTACAAATCCATATACCACTTCCTTCATGAAGCCAGAGTGATAATTCTCCTGGGCAGAAGAAACGCAGTCTTTCAATTGAGGATGCTTGTGTGCTCTGGATATTTTCTTCCTTTAGCACTTATATAACTATGTTGGCATTTTTTACATTTAAATATATTTCCCTATTAGACTGACCTGGAGAGAAGAGGCTTTGTCTTGGCATTTTCACTACTCCACATGCATTCTAGCACTAATAAGTGTTTCATTAATTTCTGTTGAAGAAAGATATGAGGTGTGACAAAAAATACGCTGAATGTTTATGTTAAAAATGATTTATTAGAGTAAAAGACACCTTGAAATACCCCCTTCAGTTCTAAACCCCTTATCCCGCCACTCTTGCCACTTTCTGAAACAGTTCTGGAAACATCTTCTATTAGTCTCTTTAGTTGTGCTGTCATGGCTGCCTCCATGTCCTGAATTGATTCAGAACATTTACTTTTCATGGTCACTTTGACTTTGAGAAAGAGCCAACAGTGCCACAGTGGCAGATCTGGTGAATACGATGGAGAAAGATACACTGTGATGTTCTCACAAGCCTGCCTCTCTGTTGGAGGGTACTTTTTAAAGTCACATCTTGTAGACACTCATTGAAGAGGACTTCAGAACTGCCTTAGAAAGTGGAAAGAATGATGGGATAAGAGTTTTTAAAGTGACAGTGAGTATTCTGAGGGGAGTTGATGGCAATATGTCTTTTACTATAATGCATATTTTATATTTAAACATTCACTGTACATTTTGATCACTTTTTGATCACAACACACACACACACACACACACACACACTTACACTTCATTTCAGTCAAATATAGAAGAAGCTCCACTAGTTCAAGATCAATGCCTTACAGAGGCTGAGGTTGATTCCTTAGGTAGATCATGCCAAGGGTGAAAGCAGTACAGGTAAACCGGTAGAGAACAGGCAGAAGCTAAACAGAGCCTAGACACATGTTTTAGTTACTTTTTCCCAGATAGATTTAAAAAAAAACTTCCATAGAACACTTAAGATACAGAAATGGTTCTCTCGATTCCCGGTACCGGAGAAAAACCAAAAAACCAAAAAACCAAAAAAAAAAAAAAACAGAAATGGTTCTCACACATTTAGATGTCAGGAGGCCATCATGGTTTTAAAATATATCCACAAATTCCTTGGTATTTGTCCCTTCAAGAGGTAGTGTTTAACTCCCCTCCCCCTTAAGTATGTACTGGAATTAACACCTCATAAAGACACACATGAAAGAGGACTTCCAGAACTGCCTCAGGAAGTGGCAAGAAGGATGGGATAAGTGTGTTTGAAATGAGGGGAAATATTTTGAGGGAGTTTAATGGCAGTGTCCTTTTCCATGAATTTTAATGCCAGAATTGATGATGTGCCGTTTCCAACACCAGGTCATTAAACATATCACAGCTTCCTCTTCGCTTTTTTCCACAGATCACTTATTCTAGGGAAGCCAACTCCATGCTGTGAGGTGATTGCTGAGGTCTGTGTGGTAAGGAACTGAGGTCTCCTTCCAACAAGGGCACTAACTTGCTAAATCTCTAAGTGAGCTACTTTGGAAATGGATCTTCTAGCTTCAGTCAAAATTGCAGTCCTGAGCTAGGGATTCAGCTCAGTGGTAGAGCACTTGCCTAGCATCAGCGAAGCTCTGGGCACATTTTCCAGCACAGTACAATACAAGAAAACAAAACCAAACAAAATCAAAAACACAAATCAGAAAAAAAAAACCACTACAGGCCTGGGCAATATGTTGAAGGAAATATGAAATTTCATTAGAACTCTGAGAATTACTACCTAAAGCCATTCTCATACTTATGACAGACACAAAGCTGTGAGGTAATACTTGTTTGTTGTTTTGAATAATTTTCTTGAGTTAACTGGGTTAATTTGTTATGTAGCAATAGATAGCAAGTAAATCCCTTTCAACTCTTAAAATTTATTGTGGATCACCCAAAGCTTTAGTTTATATGGTATATAGTTATCAATATTTACTGCTTTAGCTATTAAAACACAGAAACAATTCAACATCTATTTTTAATTTAAAACTACAACTTATAAACCCATTACATGTGAGTAACATTTTTATGAAAAAAATTAATGAGAAATGTAACATTGTTTTCATTTTTGCGGGATATTTTTACTGTCTGGCTTGATAGGAGACAGGTTCTTCTACTGACTACTACATTTTATCTTTTGGAATATGTTGTTTTCGGTGAGGTATATGAACAAACTCTAGCTTCACACAGCAAAAAACGATCTCACAAACATCCTGAAAGGGTCTCTGCAATTCCCAGGGATCCCTAGATCATACTTTTAAAGGACTGCTGTTGGGACTCCAGAAATCCATTAGGTTGAAAGTCATCAAAAGAACAGAAGACTCTGAAATTCTGGAGGATTCTCTGCTACGCAGCATTACTGCTTTCTCTCATCCTAGATTGTACCATACAGGCCTCAAAATCATCATTTCAAAACCTCCTATAGTAAATCGAGAGGAATGGAATAATTTAGTCCAAATCTGAGGTGTAACTTAATTCATCTCTTAATTTTCCATCTATAGACCAATCCCTTCCAACCTCCTCAAACTGAACAGGAAGGAGAATTCAGGCCTGGCTCTTTTCGCACCAGGACTGGCTACAGGTTCAATCCTTTGAGTAAGCTAATTCTCCTAGGGTTGTTTTGGGTTGTCTATATGACTTCTATTCCCTAATCATAACCAAGAAATTAGAATAGGGTTGGAAGGAACTTGCATGGGAAAAAACAATAAAGAGAATAAAACGTACGTTTTGTCCTTTGACTGTTATTTTACGAAATATGAACCAGATCCTTTATCATTGTAAATGAGTGTGTACAGTGTACAATGTTTCTATGCATGGGAGCCGTGAGTGTGTGCACCTAACTTCTTTCTGCTAACTTCTGCTAAGTTAGAGAACTTAACCCTGACTCAAGTTAGTTATGGGAAAAGCCACAAACTGAGCCATGAACTTGTGAGACCTAATTGTAAGCAGAAAATATTTTAACTAGAAAAGGATCTGGAACAGGAAAGCCCGTACTACCCTGGGTCGCTGTACTAGCTATTTACATATGGTAGGTTTACATTCAAACACGGTTTAAATATAATACAATGACTTTGTTTTATGCATGGCCAGGTGACAGCATTTAATTAAGCATTCTACTTGAAGGACTAAATAATACATACTTAAGAAACTTCATTCCAATATTTTCTGACTTTAAAACACAATTTCTAACTGTATGCTGAAATACAGAATAAATTCCTCTCACCTTCTTCGGCTAGATAAAGTTTCTTCATGTTCTACATGAGCAACCTTTAATACTTTCTTGTCAATAAACAGATCTTCAGGATAATAAGCAGATCTATACTGGCGTTGTTGAGAATGAGCACATAACTTGCCAATCTGAAAAAAGAAATGAAATATAATTATATGATACTTTCACAGATATAATAGAAGAAGCAAATTCTGAAATGCACTTCAATTCCTTCCCCCAATTTCCTTTTAAAGAGCAGAACAAAGCTATTGCTACAGTCAAAAGAGATGATAAGGTTTTAAGGAAAATAACCATTGGTGGAGCATAGCCTACTCAAGAGATTTACTAAGGTGAAAAATATCTTTTTACGATAGTGAAGTGTACATTTTGAGAGGACCCTCTACACAGGTCCAATGCTATTGATATCTTTCAAAGGCACCTGGTGTACATATGTATAAAGAATTTCACAAAAGGGAATTGCAAAGTTAAGGAGGAACTTTTATAGGAGTCGGGATATGTGAGAGGTACTGCATGTCAAATAGCCCGTTAGTAGAAAAATCAGCCTTCAATGCGCAGAGGGCTCCTGATTCTTAGGAAAAAATTGTGACAAGACTTCAGCTATTGTATTCTAAAAATGCCAGTGTGGTTACTCCTCTGGCTGTCCTAGCTGCCCAAGGGAAGGAGTCAAGTCTACCAAGAGGCAGCTTCACCAGTTGTGAACCATATATCACTCTCACTGGATTGACAGTATTAAGGAATACTTGCTCAAGACAGCCAGCTGGGCTGCCTTCCCCCTGCTGCTTTCCTATCAGTTTTTATCATTCACTCATTCATTCATTCACTCAAAAATTTTTATTGAATACCTTCTTCTAAAGCTCACCTTTTACATGCACATGTAGAAATGATTCTTTTAAAAATTATATTGGCTCTGTTACTTAGCTCCATTCTGATTTCCTTGGCTAAATTACCTGTAGATTTATTTTCTCGCTTTCAGAAACAAGCCTAAGTGAACTTGCATGTACACATACGAATATTAACTTTTTCTTTATCTTCCCCCAAGTGCCAGAAACTATGCAACATACAACCCCCACCTGTAGATGAGGAAGTTGAAGCTCAAGGAAGCTAGGAGACTTGCCTAAGACAGAGGCAGTGGGGTCACTTGCCTGCCTTTAAACTGATTTGTTTGGCGATTAAACTTTTGCAACACTGCCTTCCTGGAAGATGGCACTTGATTTTCATACGCTTACATTCTACTTTGAAAATAAAAAACCTTTCAGTCCTCCAAACATAGCCAGCGAACACAGCCAAGGTTAACATACAGAATTTAAACTTTTGGAAAACTATTAGAAATATCTTATAAAGAGAAGGGTTATGTCTTTGTCATTTTTGTGCCCTCACGTCATTCAAATCCCATTATCCACACTGTTACAGGTAAATTAATTGAAGTGAATTAAAGGAATCTCCCACTGTCAGGTCCAGCAGACCACGCTACAAATAAGCCATGGGCTCTGTGTGGTAATTTCAGCCTCTGGATTTCCCAAGATCGCCCTGATCACATTTACTAAGTTAGCTGTTTCTTATATAATGGCTTAAGTGGCATTTAGTTTGTACAGGTTTGGAAGGCTTCGCATATAAATGCTTTTTCCCTGTTGTTCTGAGACAAGGTTTCGCTAAGTTACCCAGGCTGGCCTTGAATTTAAGATCCTCCAATTTCAGCCTGTCCAGTAGCATGGATTACAAGTATGTGCTTGGCTTAAATAAATTCTTCAATTAGAAAAAATCTAGGATCAGCAGCAGAATCACTCCCTCTTATGAAAGACAGCACCTATCATTTGATACTCAGACCAGGTAGTCTCAATAGTTTATCCTAATGAGAAGGAAATAAGAGTTGTAGACACTTGAAAATGTGCCATCTGGGGTTGGAATGTATGACACTGAATTTTTCCTATGTGCTTATGTAATGCTACTTGACTTGGGATTATATTAACTTCAAATAAAGCGCCTGTATTCTCTGAATACGTCTGTGCTGATAGGTGCGTGAGCCCAGGGGCTGCCAGTCAGGCTGTGCAGTTAAGCTCCAAACATTTTCAAAGTATATAATGCAGTTACAAACAACTGAGGGCAGACTGTGCCCTACAGAAGTATGTATACAAACATACACAATTTTTTAACATGTGTACTTACATTTACTTTCTGTATATGCACAACTGCAGATGAAATTTCAGGACATAAAACTTTTGTTCCACAAATATCTAGTTATTATTCCATGAATAGACATCGGTGTGAGAGTTTATTTCACCAAGACCAAAGTACTCTTAGCGTATTCAGGTACACAGGACATAGTCCTTCATCTACACCTGTTACGAATCCAGCATCAAAATAAAATCTTCTCCCGCAACTTGTCTACTTGCAACCCACAACTGTGAAATCCCCCTCCCCATTGAAAATCAGCCCTTTATATCAGTGAATACTTCTAACTGGGCCACAGTGAGACTTTAAAGTATTTGTCCCACCTAGTGGAAAGGGGTGCAGCTGAGGCAAAAGTAGAAAGGTTAAGAACAAATGAGAATGTAGCCTGTCTGCAGTCTGACCTTTCTTCCCAAGCCACCCAATGAGGCATTAGCAAGCAGACTTCCCAAGGCTCTGTGTGGGTTAAGGGCCAGACAATGGTGTCCTGCCAGTACCCTGACTCCCCCATCTGAAATGTGCCACATCTTATCAGACAGGCTGTATTTTCTTCCACAAATCTACCATGAAGCAAAGTCTTCTCATATACAAAGCATTTGTCAAATTTATCCCCCCTCCTTGGGCTCTTCTCCCTGCATCCTTCACCTCCATGCTGTGTGAGCTAGAGGTGAATAGTATGAGCTTATTTTGAGAAGTGGACACTAAAAGGAAACATAATTTACAAAGAGATGCAGCATTCACATTAAAGAAGTCCTTTCAGCTTCACACTTGAGAAACATCAGGCTATGCTGGGAGACCTGGGTCTTAATTCTGCCGATCTACTTGCTAAAGACGCAGGCCTCCCAAGTGGTATTTCAGAAATCAGTAGCCTTCCAGGAGTTTCAGGCTCTTAAACAAGAAGTGCAATTCAATTTCCTTTCACTGAGTAATGTACCTAGTCAAGAATGTTGTTACTTTTAAATATGGTTAGTTGGAGTGATATCAAAAGATCTGGAATATAAAAACTTTTGGTTTTCCATGAACCATGGTTCCTAAAGGTGCCTTCATTTAGGTGCCCTAACTGGCAGCAGGGAAAGCTATAGTGCCCCGAGTGTTACAAGTCCTGGAATTTAAGAAGGCAGGGCCTCTGACTGTATTCCGGGAACAAGCCTCTTTAGTAACCTCAGCACCATCTCCTTTCTGTCTGGGTCCAGAGCCATTGCCTTTGTACAAACATGAAGCAAGTTTACTTCTAGTGGTCAGCAAGATACAGTGAAGAGCCCAGCAAGATGGACAGCAGGAGAACCGACCTAAAACCCCACTTCGTTTTTAAACTGACACATAATTGGACATATTTGTGGGCTACAGTGCAACATTTCAACATCCTGCTGGGCTCTTTGGGGTAATAGCACAACCATCACTGTAAATATTTATCATTTCTTTGTGTTGGAAACATTAAAATATTTTCTAGCTATTTTGAAATAGACAACAAATTATTGCTAACTACTGTCACTATACTGTGCTGTAGAACACTAGAACTTATTCCTCTTGTCTCTTTTTGTACCAGTTAACCAACCTCTTCATATCTCCCTTGAGAACTTTCCCTCGCCACTGACAACCACCATTCTACTCTCAACTTGTACGAGTTAACTTTTTAGCTTCCCTATACAGAGGAGGTCATGTGGTACTTATATTTCTGTGCCTGTGTTATTTCACAACACATACAGCCCCAGAAATGCTTTGCTCTAACCCAGTGTCACAACTTCATTCCACCTGTAACTCTAGCATGATACAAAGTAGGAAGCTATGGTATTTGAAGTGTCATAACTTATTCCAGGCTCCCTTGAAAAAAAAAAGGTGAAAATTACCTTCATAGGGGAGTATGCTATTTCAGGGGAGGAGAAAATTTTTTTCTTTACCCACTTCCTGGTTCATGACGGAAACACCTACAATAAATGATTAGCCAGAAAAAAAATCATACAAATATGCTTAATGTAAGTTTTACATGACATGAGAGCATTCACAAATGAAGGTCCAAAGAAATAAGGTAGGCTGGGGATATAGCTCAGCAGCACAGTGCCTGTCTGGCAAGAGCAAGGTCGTGAGTTTGATTCTGGGAACCAAAAAAAATTTCCAAAGATACAGGGAAACCTGTATACTTTTATGCTAATTTTGATGAAGTGGATATGGGGGAAGTGTGATTGGACAAAGGTGCTATGATCTGATGCAATACACTGGAGTGAACACAGTAAACTATTTGTTCATATTCTTCTCTGTATCTCTGGTTACACAGTAGGTACCTTTCTTATGATGTACTTCTAGTGAGAGTCAGCCAGGTTTTATGATCTACTTCTAGGGAGAACAGGCAGGGGAAGGTTAGTGTGACCTTCCTGCACCTGCAGTTTTTTCGAATGCTACAGTGCCATGTTTTGGAGTAGTGTGTCCTGAACCCAGTCATTACCGAGGATTTTCAAACGTTGGCCTGATGCAGCTCACACCTGCACTCCATAATTGATATGTTAAGAAATGCAAATACTTCACTGGTTATAAATCTAACTACATTTCTTTTAAGCCCCCTACTTTCTGTTGGTTCTGGGTACTCTTGAGGGACAAAACTGCAGACTTGATCTTTTACTTGGGTTGGCTGAGCTTTACAGAAAGATGGCCTATATTGCACATTTTTCAACAATAGCAATACTTTACATTTTGAACGTAATGTGTGACTTCAGCCTAGCGCTCCACAAGTAACTTCTACATCTATTCTCCACTCTCTCCAGTGAGTCAGGCAAACAACCTCCCATGAAATACACTGAGTAGGTATTGGTATTATTAATCCATTTAGGAGATAATGAAACAAGCTCGCAAATGTTGAGGAATTTAAGCAAAACTGCAGTGTTAGTAAATGGCAGAGTTGAGACTTGGACACTGGTATGTCTGACCCTAAAACCTGTGGTTTTTTTTTGATGTTTCCCGTTAGTAGCAT